TGATCCAGTTGAGGTAAATTCCCCTTGATACATGAATACTCTACATGTGTATGAAAGCGGGGGCTCTACATAGTACTGTAATGACCTTCAGGGATGAACACAAAAACCCCCCCCCCCCCAGTATAAAAACACACCAATTTGCCAGTACAAAGCAACAGTGTTTGTCTCTCTGGGTTATCATGGCTGCTTTGGCTGCTTTGGAAAGCAAAATGATCTGGCCTGACCCTCAGATCCTCTGGCTTTGCCTTCAACTGTGTATATATGCTTATGTGTGTCTCAAAGGAGAGCATTGTGGGATATGTCCAGAGAAGCATTCCAATGTACCTGTACACAAATGTGGGCAAATAAAGCATGAATTCATTTCTGCTGGTATAAGAATCAGCATTAGGGACCATTGGTAGCCAAGCTCTCTGAGGACCTCAAACTGATTGGTCCAGTCGGCTAATCTGACATCACAATCGGGAAGTGGTGCAGCCAATCAGGAACTAGCATGGTGGTTAAGGATGGAGACATGCGATGGACAGTTGCTCTTTGGAAGCCTGGGAGGGGCATTTCTGTATGATCTTTGAGTGGGGAATGAATTTAGAGAGGTGTGATTTATCAGATTTAGTGTTTTTACTTATGTTGAGAGTGGAAGCTGAAGTGGAAACACACCTTCATTACTGCCCAGGATATGACGTCATCAAGGCTGTTGTGCAAAACCAATATTTTATGGTTTGCATATTATCATCACTCAGAACTGGGGAAAAAGGGCTGAAGGCCAGAATACACATGGTTCATAAGAGCTTGTCCTTCTTGGAGCTGCTTTTAAAGTGCCATGAATTAATCATCAGGGAGGCGTTAGAGGAAGCTCGCTCCATCTGCGTTACGTTTGGTGGCGTCCCTATTATTCTACACTTCTTCGATACAGGCTTTTCTCCTGTACTCCTTCTTTGCAGAGACTGTGAACAGACGGCTTTTAAGACCAGTTGTCAAATGAATATATTTCAAAGAGTCCCTAACACTGCATTTCACTTCAAAGCAGAACAGAAACGATTGCTGTCATTTATAGTTCAAGCTACAATCAGAGGTGGAAAGGTCAGATCCACAAAGAATAAATCCAGACTGAGGTTTTGTTTCAACCCACCAGTTGAGTACTCTGCCACTGTGACTCTTTATGCTCAACTGGTTGGTTGAAACAAAATCTCGGTCTGGATTTATACTTTGTGGACCGGAATTTTCCACTTCTGGCTGCAATTAACAGTAAAATGTAAAAATATATACTGAAATGTAACCGAAAGGGCATCTAGGTGTATTTGCACTGACACATATCTAATTGATGAGACATCCCTGCAGTCGACGGGTTTCGTTCTGTTTCTCTGAAGAATGTAAACGAGGTGAACAGCTGACGTGCGAAAATGCGTCCTGGACAGCGGCCAGAAAATCACCACCCTAAGGCTATTTTGTCCATCCGAGAATTATAATTTTATGGATTAAGGCTACAAATTAAACTACGCAGCAACATTAATTCAAGTTATTTTCTTTCTTCAACAAAAAGAACATCACTGCTCTAAAGCTGATACCACATCGCTTAGAAACAGTGTTGAGGGTGATCTGAACCAAGCATTTACATCTAGGAATGTTTTAAAGGTATTATGTTAAAACAATGTTTTTACTCAACACCACAATAAAGAAATTCTATCAGATATAGGCATAAAATAAATAATAAGCATTACTACGTTGTTTTCCTTGTTGTGATATTTTAACACTACAGGAGTATTTTGCTTTAACAAATAAAATAGACCCACTATAAAAAACTACCGCCTTTGAAATTCTGCGGTATGATGCATGCAGCCTAGCAGCACTGGGTTGCTCTGCCCCAATGCACGGCACATTTCAGCTTTCGTGCCATCATTATATAAACAACACTAGTAAACACAATATTTCAGTCTTAACCGGAAGTGGTAATTAGGATATATCTGGAATCCTGAATTGGTATAACCTTTTGCAATTACGGTTGTATAAATAATCCGATAGAGACCACATATGGGAGTTCTTTTGATGTTTTCTAAATTGGATATTTATTATTGTTTTTGCGCTTTAATTTCCCACAGACCTACCTTTATTTCAGCAATTAACGGGGGAGAGTCTGGGTTGAAGTTATTTAGATGTGTTATTTACTTTTTTCGCGGGGCAACCGTTGCTCAGCACAGCGTAGAATAGGAACCAAACTCACCTCAGAAGAAAATCTTTGCTTCATTCAAGCGAATCCACCACCAAGCCTACTTTTTATTTGCTTAAGGTCTGACGGGATTCTATGCCTCCAATACAAATAAACCTCAAATTAATTATGGCCTCATGCCGGACTCTGGCCCGTGTGCTGCAGGCTTAATGTTTTTCTGTAAGTATTTTCCCTAATTTTTCGATTTTTTTCCCCTTCACTTGAGAAGTACACAAATCATGACCTTCGTACTGGGTATCCACAGAGCTCACATGCAAAACGCTTGCAGTGGCTGTAAAGGATCAAACATCTCGGTCACAGACTATAACAACATACAAAGGCAGCTGCATAGGTAATGCGGCATTCCTCGAAATGTGTTTTTCTTGGTCAAACACATCAATGCCCTTCAATGGGATTATGGAGAAAATCATAACCGCTACATTTCTCAAATGTGACAGGTATAGAGGAGGAATATCAGATTAAATTTTACTTCCAGGTTAAACGTAGTCTAGGGGGCTTGGGGTTAGGGTTTCAGATTCTGCACTGACTGTGTGAGCTTTGTACTGTATGTTCTCATGTTGTGTGGGGTTTGTACCATGGGCGTCATTAAGCCAGATCACTATGGGCTATAGCCCGAGTACTTTAAGCAGAGCGCCGAGTACTTTAAGCAGAGCGCCGAGTACTTTAAGCAGAGTGCCGAGTACTTTAAGCCGAGCGCCGAGTACTTGAAGCCGAGTGCCAATCTTCCTTCAAAAAATAGAAAAAAGTCAAGCCTCTGATCTTTTCTATAGCCAGAAATGCCCTTGGTTTGCATGTTCTCCTCATGTTTTGTAGGTTTGTATGTCCCCTCCAAGCTGTGTGAAGTTTGCGCTTCAGCAAACTTATAGATTTTCTCCCTGTATTGTATGGATTTTGCATGTTCTCCTCGTGTTCTGCAGTGTTTGCATGTTCTCTTTATGTTCTGTGGAGTTCGCATGTTCTCACCATGTTTTGTGGGCTTTACAAGTTCTTGTGTTCTATGGAGTTTGCTTGTTTTCCCCGTGTTCTGAAAAGATTGCATGTTCTCCCCATGTTGTGTGTGGTCTACATGTTCTCGTTTTCTGTGGAGTTTGCTTGTTTTCCCCGTGTTCCGTGAAGGTTGCATGTTCCCCCCGTTTTGTGTGGGATCTACATGTTCTCATTTTCTGTGGGGTTTGCATGTTCTCCCCATGTTGTGTGGGGTTTGCATGTTCTCTCTGTGTAATGTGGAGTCCCCAGCCTCGTACCCTGTGATGCCTGGGATAGGCTCCAGCCCCCCACCCCCCACCCTCGTGACCTTGCACTGAATAAGCAGCTGGAGGATGACTGGAAACCTTAATCCAAATGCTCTGGCTAAGCCTGCATATTGTAACCCTAATCTTGACTGGTTATGTACTGGTGTAATCTGCACAAATGGTTTTAGATAGTAAATGCAGAGCAGCATAGTTTGCATTACGGCTGATTTGAACTACCAGTTTGTACACCGAGACGCTAAAATGCAACATTAACTCGAAGACTGACCTCCATCACAGAAATAGGGACCTCCCCCCCCCCCCCATCTTAATTAGACTGCCACACCGGCCTGAGGCAGGGAAAGCCTTGACCTCAGCGAGATCCAGATGTGAGGGTCCCAAGGGGGCCACCCCCCTCCCCCCCAAGCAGAGCCCCAAATCGAGAGCAGACAGGCCGACCCCTCAAGCCAGCCGTGACGGGGCAGGCTGTTTGCACGGCGCTCCAGGCCCCCGGCTGCCCTGGGCACGGTTAGCTGGCAGAAATACAGCCTCACTGATGGAGGCTGATTCATGGGGGGGGGGGGGGGCAGTCTCCTCCTTAATTAAACTTAAATAAATGCTGCTGTTATAATAATAATAATTATTATTATTATTATTATTATTATTATTATTGTTATTATTATTGTTGTTGTTGTTGCTCATATTGTTATTATTATTACTATTATCATCTGTAGTAGTAGTGATAGTATTGGGGGGAAAACTATATGTATCATTTACGCCAATGATTTAATGCCTGATCGTATCCGTCTGTTTTTAATCTTGCACCTACAATTCCCGCAAAGTCAGGGGATGGGGTTAGGCTTGGGGGCAGTCGAATCCGAAACAAGGGTCTTATTATTGAACCCGACCAACATGCCCCCCATTCATTCGGGGAGATATACTATCCATCACTCGGCCCGATGCCGGATAAAGGAAACACACATGTGGAAGTAGCCTGAGGCATCCAGCAGTTACGGTCCGGCCTGGTTTTATTGATGGTGTTTCACGGAGAGCTTACCGGGGACCGTGGGCGGCCGGAGCGGCTGAACTCCCTGTCACAGGTACGCTGCCACGGAGCCTGTGCAGTTCCCTTAGCTTGATTTACGATGTTTTTTTTCCCTACTTTAATGCGATGCATCTGCATGCATTTTGTCTTCAGCCCGTTTCTGTTCGAGGCTGAGGTAAGACTGAAATGACGACTTAAATTCTCTAGGTGACACAGTTTAATTTAATTCATAGAAAACTGGAGGGATTTGTATTATTACGTATATGTATTACAAAATCTAAAAATGTTTATATTTATGTGAATATGGAAAGCAAAAAAATTCAAACTTAATAAACGGGCATATCGCTGTTTTGAGTCTAAAAATATTTGGAAAAAAATGCCCGTGACGTGTACATTGGAAAGGCGTCGCAGATGTTAAAGATGAATGCATCAAACATTTCCAGGGAAAATATTCAACGAGAAAAAAAATCCATTGTCTTCTCTGCTTATCTCATTGGGACAAGTATCCTGCTTTTTGGGAGCGGTAACGAAGGGAAGACTGCAGTGACACACACACACCGCTTCCTTCGCATACGTACTCACTTCACTTGCCACATTTTGCCAGTAAAATCTTCCACTTAACTTTTTTCCTTCTCTCTCTCCATCTCCATCCCGCCGTAACACATGGATTTGTGGATTTAATGCGGCAAAGTGTCATGTTTGGATTATTTTTGGGGTTCCCTTATAATTGCCCGACATGGATGAGAGTGTTAAGGTAAGGCATCGGACCGGGAGACTGATCTGATCCGGCCCGCCGCGGTGCTCAGGACGCTGTATAATTCGCCTCCTGAAACCGATTATCACATTTCGTTGTCTGCTTCCGCGGACACTGACGTGTCCTTCTCATTTCATCTGTTTTTAATCTGCAAAATAAAAATACAAATTATTTGCAGATTAAATGGAAAACGCTGTCAAAGTTGGACAGAGCTCACAGCGGGCTTGCCGCTGAAGAAATTATTATAACAAAAAAACTATATATATAAACATATAAATATAAGGAATTATATTATGCATGTTTGAAAAAATATACTACGTTAAAAAAGTTTGCCTGTTATGAGATGGTCGTAGTTATATGTGGGCTAGTTGTATTTTGTCATGTAGTATAAGTAACGGAGTGAGTAATAGTCCAGCCAGCACTCTTAATAAAATCTATTTTGTTCTAACCATACCGAAAGTAAAAATGTAAACTTTAAACTAACGTTCTGCGTTGGTGCGCCTGATGTATCTGCAGCGAGCCAAATTACCCGCTGAATAACTTTGACTGTTGGAGGAAAGTGAAATTATCCAGCGCACCAATACGCTACACTGTCTTTTTAGGTACCAAATTCAGACATTAGTTTGAAAGCTATATATTTTGTTATGAGTGATATTCCATTTTGTAATCTAAATAAGATGGTTCAGGTCGTGGTGAATGGGCATTTTGTCCAGTTTTTAATCATACAAGTGAATGTAAAGTGAGTATTCTATATGTAAATATCTGCAACGTGTATTTAGAGTGTAAACCACAGTCTTTAAGTGCTGTGTTTTATATTTTATTTTTATTTTTTTCGCTGGTATGTCCTCATCTTAAGGACAAAGGCTCTCTATGTGAATAAACTCCAGGAAAAAAACTCCGAGCTGCTCTCCCGGGCACGATTGCGGGATCTGAAACGCTGTCACGCTGACGGTCATTTCTGTCGTGCGGTTCAGCAGTGAGAAGTGAAAGGTTGCCGGAGTCGAGCGGCTTGCGGAGCGCCTCATACAGACGGCCATTCTCGGCCGGCTCCCCTGATCAGCTCGGTCCAGGATGCAGGATGGCCTCTGCACAGACTTCCTGCGCTACACAATCAGACTAAATGGCCTGATTTCCTTCTTCCTTCTCAAACAAACGGACTCAGCCATGGGTCTCACTCTTTAGCCTGGAAGGGACCTTCTTGCAGACCACACCCTCCTCTTGGCCTCTTCCCCCTTAGGAGCATAATGACTCTGCTTTGAAGAACAGCTTCTTCAGAAGTCCACAGTCTTCCTGCAGAGGGTCTCTCTCCTGTTCTGGAGAGCCACTTCCCAACTGAACTTCTGCCTTGGCTCCAGCAGGTGACGTCGCTGCGGCGATTTCCGCTTCCCTCTCCCCTGCAATACTACCCCCCCGCCCCTACGTTGACCGTGTAACTGGAAGGCTATGGGTGACAGGAAGGTACTCAGTGCCGAGGCCCCGTTTTCTGTCCCTCACCTCAGCTGTGCCAAGGAAATGTTCAAAGTACAGAACCTGGAGAAACTGGACGTCTTTTAGCATGACAACGTTGCCCAAGCAACCGAAAACAACCAATGGGCACAAATGTAACAAAACCGTGAACAAACCTGCACCTCCTGACAAGAGACAGGAGTAGCTTAGCGAATGAAGGACCCGATACCTCAGCTGGGGAGCTGGTCGCAACACTGCCTGACAAGAAAACAGTGCCACTATCGCGAAGAACCCGATACCTCAGCTGGGGAGCTGGTCACAACACTACCTGACAAGGAAACAGTGCCACTATCGCGAAGAACCCGATACCTCAGCTGGGGAGCTGGTCACAACACTGCCTGACAAGGAAACAGTGCCACTATCACAAAGGACCCGATACCTCAGCTGGGGAGCTGGTCGCAACACTGCCTGACAAGGAAACAGTGCCACTATCGTGAAGGACCCGATACCTCAGCTGGGGAGCTGGTCGCAACACTGCCTGACAAGAAAACAGTGCCACTATCAATTTACAGACTGCTAATGTTTAATAAACTCCTTACACCAAGCCCACAGGTTGCAGTAGTGCTAATACAAAATAATAAATTTCCTATTATATTATATAATTTTATACTTTATAAATAATTTTTTTTTCATAGAGGAATATTGATTGAGATTCTCCTCATGTTTACCGTTGTGGAACGCTGCACATTTTTAGTAAGTAATGTTCTATTTGCTGTAATGCAGATCAGGGTTGGTAGGTGGCAGATTTGTACGATTCCCAGAGTGTATATTTCCATCACCTATACTGCCGTTTGCCTTCTTACAGAGCCAAGGCGTCGCGGAAAGGCGAGGATTGAAAGTGGGAAAGGGGAGGGGGGCGCAATGATTTTCCGTGTAAACACCACCACCCTCCAAAACACTAATGCAGAGCTCGCAGATTGGCAGCGCAATTCGCTTAACACACACATTTCATTCTCCGAAGCAAAATATGTCTCGCATAGTCATGTTGGAAAGATCTGAAAAGATATGGCGTGCTTTTCCTTTGGAAATATCAGCCCATGGCTGCTGAGATTCTTTTGGTGTTGTGTTGAGTTTCTTTTTTTAGGAGAGATATAGCAGTCAAACAGCGGGTCCCGGGATCAAAGTTTTGTAAGTTGTGAATCCATCCCTTTAGCGGTATTCTTGTTGTTTTGGGGCGGTTTGCATACCCAGGTCAGGGTTAGGGACCCTCCCCCCCCCCACCGAGGGATTTGGTGAGGGGTGCTGGTTATCAGCTGCCATTCCTGATGGTCTCAGGGCGTGTTTGCTGAGTTTTGTCGGAAAACAGGATGTGGGTATACTTATCGTATTCCCACTGGTGGCTGAAGAGCTCACCACTGATTACAGGAGTCGCCGACCCCCATCCTCCCCCCCCGTGCAGAAAAGGACGCTCCAGAGGTGCGAGACTGCCACATGACGTCCTCAGCATGTCCGTGTGTCATGACACGGGAGAAAGCAGGATGTTGGCGTCGAGGAGAAGCATCCTCAGGAAGCAGCTGGCCGTCTGGCTGAGTTCGGGGTAGCTCTGACCCCCCTGATTCCCTCGAACCCGGGCGTTTGCTGTGCAGGGGGGGTGTCTTTGTGTTCATGGATGTGGGTGACCGTCTTCCTCCCTGTGACTCTTGTCTTGAGTTCTGGGTAAAACTGTCATGGCAAAAGGTATGGAAACAAATCTGATGCCTCTCGGGTTGCGGGTTGGAGGGCATTTGCGGTTCCCCTGTTCTCCTTTGCCAGGAGTTCCTGCCACAGACCCAGGATGGGCAGTCAGAATAACTGGCATCTGTAAAATGCCCTCTGTGTGTGTGTGTGTGTGTGTGTGTGTGTGTGTGTGTGTGCAGGTCATGTATATGTTACATTGTTTGGACCAAATGTCCCCACAATGTGATTAAAAACTGGTTATTTTGACATTGTGGGGACCACCTTTTCGGTCCACACAAGGGGAAACTGAATTTCATAAAAACCTGTGACTGCAATAAAAATTGCCAGACTATTTTCTTTGGATACTTATGGTTAAGGTTAGGGCTGGGTAGGGGTTAAGGTCGTCACTGTTGGGATTAGGGTTTTTCCGATAGAAATGAATGGAGAGTCCCCACAAAGATATGAATATAAACATGTGTGTGTCTGTGGGTGTGTGTGCCCTGTGGGGGGGTTGGCACCCAGCTCAGTGTTTCATCCTGCCAGGTCCCGGCACACCACAGCCCAAACCAGTATAAGCAGATGGTTGGATGGGATACTTTCTTACCTCTTTATACAAAGGGGCATTTTACTGGGCAAATCAAGTCGGTCAGATTAAATCCAGACTCCTTACCCTGCTACCTGACTCGCTAGAACATTCCATCAGACAGCTTAAGGTTGACCCTAAATTCTGGTGGGGACAGAATGACTGGGCATGGCGGCAGGGCGCCCCCATGTGTTTGTGGGTGGGACTGCTCCTAGGGGTAACATGTGAGATGGTGTTGTTCCTTGTATCTCCACTAGAGGGGGCCAACGTGAACCTGTGTTTACTTATCCCGACCCCCAGGAGGCGTTGTCCATCGTGAGTGAAGACCAGTCCCTGTTCGAGCCCCCGTACGCCGCCGCTGCCCCGCTGTCTAAGCCGGACATGACGGCATCAGGATCCCAGGATTACGGCACCGCCCCCGACATTCACCCCCTGCCCCCCCAGCATGAGTGGCTGAGCCCGGCCCGTCACGTGAGCATCAAGCGGGAATATGAGCACATCAACGGCGGCTCCAGGTGGGTGGGCGCACTCCCCTTTACCGCAGAGGGTTATGCTAACGCCTAAGGGTTATGCTAACGGCTAAGGGGTATGCTAACGGCTAAGGGTTATGCTAACGGCTAAGGGTTATGCTAACGGCTGCGCCAGCAAAGTCACGGTGGCTTTTTGAGCACGCCGAATGCTCATTGGCTGACTGTTTTATTAGGCTGATTAGGCAGAGAGCTGGTATTATTAACACCCTGCTGGTGTAAGAATCACCTGTCAGAGTTAAAAGCGTGGACAGTGTTTGGAAAGCTACCCGATGTTCTAGGAGGGGGTCCCACGTCACCCTCATACCAGCCTTCGCATCACCCCCCCCCACCCCCGCCTTCCCCACTTTACAGTGACTCTCTGGCGCCGCCCTGTCTGCTGAAGGGCACCAAGCAGCCCAGTGGCACCGACGCCACTCGCACCCCCTACGGCTGCTATGCTGATGAGAAGAGTGGCCTGCTGGCGAGCTCCGGCGCCTGCGAGAGGAGGGTCATTGTCCCGGCAGGTAGGGGGCTCTAGACAGGCTGTCATCACGGGAATCACCATCATCAAGAGTGTGTGTGTGTGAGGGTTATGTATGTATTACATTGTGGAGACCAAATGTGATAGAAAAACATATATTTGACATTGTGGGGACCATTTTTTTGGGCCCCACTAGGGGAAACTCAATTTTATAATCGATGATTGCAATTAAAAAACTGAAAATAAAATTATTTTATTTTGCTTGGTTACTTATGGTTAGGGTTAGAGCTGGGGAGGGTGTAAGGTTGTTATAGTTGGGATTAGGGTTATGGCCAGAGAAAGGAATGGAGAGTCCCCACAAAACTAGGAATACATGGACTGTGTGTGTGTGTCTGTGTGTGTTTCTGTGTGTGTCTGTGTGTGTCTGTCTGTGTGTGTGTCTGTCTGTGTGTGTGTGTTTCTGTGTCTGTGTGTGTTTCTGTCTGTGTCTGTCTGTGTGTGTGTCTGTCTGTGTGTGTGTGTTTCTGTGTCTGTGTGTGTTTCTGTCTGTGTCTGTCTGTGTGTGTGTCTGTGTGTGTGTGTGTGTGTGTGTGTGTTAGGGGGAAGCTGAGATAATTTGTATTAATACCAATAAAATCCACAGTACATTCACGGTTCCGTGTTTATTTTCCTTCGGATCCCCCGGTTACACTTGTTAGGCCTTTTTCATTCTAATCACAATATGGACACAAATTATCATGAAAACCCTTTTTCCCCGAGACGGCTTGTGCGTCCAAAGACTCATCTTTTATTCAGCGGCCCCCGCCGGAGCGGTTTCCCGCGGCCGCTGCACTCTGCCGGTCGTGTGCCGCGGGCCCTGGGGGCACCAGAGCCTTTGAAGCCTTTGTGGCAGCGGCCCACGGTTTGCCTGCCACTGTCCGGCCCGCTCAGTCCCTCTCATTGTCCAAAAGGTATCATGAAAATTCAGCCGCGCTAATTAATTCCGAGCAGCCAGCTGATGGTAGCTAATTAGGGGCCTGGAGGGCGACGTAGCTAGCGGCTCACTGGGGGAAGTGACGGCCACGACGGAACGGAAGGGCCCCGTCGCCATGGAGAAACAGAATTTCCGGGCAACATTGCATAGTGACCAGCGGCTTGTGGGCAACAACAAATCATAAGAATAATATTGAGGATAATGACAATGATAGTGATAATATTTGTAAACTGGTAACTGTTATAATGTTGTGCTGTAATTAAATGTCGAGGTAAGGAAAATAATTTTTATTGATCACGTCTATGCCTCCATTAAGGCCCATTTTCAGTTTGTTTTAGTTAATTTTCAACATTATTATCTCAATGGGAGGATTAATAGTACAGTGGTACCTCAGAACTCGAACTTAATCCATTCAGAACTCCGGATCGAATCCTAAAAAACTCGGAAAAATAACGGAAAACCAATTAATTGGTTCCCGACCACAAAAAATTACACCTAAATATGGTTTTTTTGCATTTGAACACAAAATGAACCAGATAAAATAAGAACAGCATATACTGTAAGTACATTTATCAAAACAGTAATTTGTAAAATCAGAAAATAAATGTATCCAAACAATGTGTAAAGTTAAAAAAACAATGTGTCCTGCCCCGATCGTCCGCTCCTTCCGTGTGCCATGCCCCCTCGTTAACCCCGTGTGTAATCCCTGTGTGATCAGCTGTTTTTGGTTGTTGTCATTAGTCCTCTGTATTTAGTCCGCGTTTCAGTTTGTTTCCACAGTCCGGTCATTGTATTGTCCGTCTGCGTTTTGCCTGCCTTACCTGTAATTAAACCCCGTATTCCCCGATACCCTGACGTCTGCGCCTTTGTCTCCGTTCCGTCCCCGTGCCACGTGACTCATTTTCCTGCGCGTACAAGTTATTTTAGGTCGGCGTTCACGGTTTGATTTCTGAGATTCAGATCGAGTTCTAGGTAATTTTTTTTTTAACTGGTTGGTTCGACTTTTAAGAAAATCGAGTTCTAATGAGTTCGAGAACTGAGGTACCACTGTATATGCTTTTCTTGTTTTGTCCAGTTCTTTTTGTGTTTAAATGCAAAAAAAAACATATTTCAGTGTCATTTTTTGGGGCCAGGAACCAGTTAATTGGTTTTCCACTACTTCTTATGGGGAAAATTCGATCAGAACTCGAACTTTTTAGGATTCAGTCCGGAGTTCTGAACGGATTAATTTTGAGTTGTGAGGTACCACTGTATCTTGTGTTTTTACGCTAAATGTTCCCATCTTATACTTCCCGTTAATTGTGGGTGTGGTAGCAGTCAGCTTATATCAATGCAGCACCGCGACATTGGTTGCCTAGGTGACAGCACTAGCTTACATTCGACTTGTCCCCCACAGACCCCGGCCTGTGGACCCCGGAGCACGTGCGGCAGTGGCTGGACTGGGCGGTCAAGGAATACGGGTTGCTGGAGGTGGAGACCACGGCATTTCAGGGCACCGACGGCAAGGCTCTCTGCAGGATGGCCAAGGATGACTTCCTGCGGCTCACGTCCGCGTACAGCGCTGACGTCCTTATGTCCCACCTGCACTACCTCAGGGAGAGTAAGTCAGGACCCCTCTCTTGTGGACCACTATCTCCAACGCCGTGTTGGGCTGCTGTCCAACTTATGGTCAGTCAGATCCTACCCTCAGTTCCTGAGCCAGTCGTGATGCATTGATGCTCTTTTTTCACATCTCTACGTACTGGCATGAGTCCCGCGTAGCTTGACGGCACTTTCTGAAAGCTTCTCGCTGAGTTTTGAACTTTGCTCCTCATAATTCAGACCCTCTGTTCTCCCGGAGCATCTGGAACTACTGTCTTCCTCCTGTGAGCAAAATCAAGTTTTCCTTTTTTTTTTTTTTTGTCTTTTTGCTCCATGTGGTAAATGCCCCCGTAATGTTCTAGTAGTGATCCTCTCTATCACAGCTTTTCAGTTTTTTTGGAACTTAGACCAGCACTAGGGACCCCCGACCATGAACACTAACGTTCCTTCGGGGGGTGGGTTGGCTTGCGTGAGTCGGATGATAATACCAGCATTTCCTCAATTTACGACACGTCTTTGCACCCCCCCCCCCGCGCCTGCTCTACGGGCCCCCAGGGTCCCCTACTCTATGCTAAATGGAACTTTATGGATGGAAATTCATCTTCCGTGCTATAAACTGCAGTTTCTCTTGGGAGAGGGCGAGGGAAACTTTTCTGGAAGTGAGGTTTACCTCTACATGTAGCGGTGAGTGAGACCCAGTGGGAGGAGCAGGGACTGGGCCCAATGTGGGCACGTCACCAAGGGTCAATGCAGTGACACTGCCATGGCCTCCAGTTCACCTGGATGGTGGGGCTGTTTTTCCAGCTGTGTGGCCAATATGGTCAGCCTGCCCCAGCTTGTCCAGTAAACACTGTCCTAAACGAGTGGTGTCAAAAGGGCAGTGGGTCACTGTGTGCTGCTTCACACCCCCTATCAATTGCAGCGCCATCTGCTGACAGGACAGGAAAGTGCAATAGGAGAATTAAAAATGATAATTAAGGATTCTGTCTTGGCTCGTTTGGGCCAGCCGGATGTGCAGCCCCCAACGCCCCCACACCACCCTGCACAGCCCAGCTGGCCCCCGTCTACAGCAGGCGGTAATCGCTTTCCAGTCTGGATGCCTCCTGCTTTCTCTCCCCCCCAATCAATACCAAGCACAGGGGCGGGGCGGTTATTCTCCTACCAGAGACACGGACCTGGATGTAGAGTGTGATTCCTGGGGCCCCAGTACTTGGATTAGAGGGCGGGGGGGCATGTCTGACCTGCAGCTGTGAGCCAATCACTAAACAGGTTAAGGTGCATCTGTTGCTGCAGCGTGCTCTACCTGAAGACATTTCCAATTATATTCTTCTGATGTTCCCCACCTGAATACACTCTCTGGTGATGTTTTCTGATGTCCCCCTCCCACCCGAATAAATTCTCCAGTGATGTTCTTCTGATGTTCCCCACCTGAATACATTCTTCAGTGATGTTCTTCTGATTTTCCCCACCTGAATACATTCTTCAGTGATGTTCTTCTGGTGTTTCCCCTGTCCTGCAGGTAGCTCTTCGTTGTCCTACAATGTCCCATCTCACATGGACCAGCCCCACACGCGACCGGTGGCTAAGGAAGGTATGGTGATGCCATGACTATGCTGGGAGGGTCAAGTTTGTCTTCATAACAGAGCCACGGTCATGTTTGGGCTGTAAAAGCACATATGGGTTCTGGAAGTCGTGCAGAAGTACCTTCGGTATCACAGTGTCCCTGAGTTATAGGAATCACATTGGAGAAAATGGACTTCAGCTCCTGCTGAGTCACACATCCACAACCAGGCCAGCACATAGACCAGGAGTCCATTTTCTATAGCCACATGACCAATTCGGTCATGTGACATCACATGGGGGGGGGGGGTTATCCTGATGAGAGGATCAGTAGTGCATTGCTAATAACACAGAGGGCCTGACAGTACTGTAGGAGAGACGCGGGGGTGAAGTCTATGTATGGACAGTAAGGAACCATGTGTGTTTCATCTGGGATCGGGGGGGTGCTTTCAGGCTGCTGATGCAGGCAGTTTGTCCCCCCTAATCCCCCACCCTCACACCCGACACACTAAACGCTTCCTGTCTGTGGATTTATTGTCCAGATTTACGGCCATAGGCAGACGTGCGCCGTCGGAATCTAAATCACTTACCTGACACAATCCAGGAATCGGTTCCCGCCTCATTGTTCCTGGGTTCCTTCATTGTTCCTCTGAGCAGGAAGCGGGTCGCCAGCGGGACACCCTGCTGCAATAACACTGATAGGCAGGAGCCTCCTAGGTGCCGAGCCAATGGAAGTACATGGCTTATAAGGGCCCCACCAATAAGGCGCTACTGCTGAGTCACATGATGCTGTTATGGTCACTGATTAGTTGTCAGGGAGAACAAAACGTGAAGTTAAAGCTCCTGTGGCCGCATTTCAGCTGCCAGGGCTACAGGTGGCAGTATTCTGCGTGTGGTTAGCGTGTTTGGCGAGCTGCACACCGTTGGACCATTGAAGCCTCCGCCTAAGTCCAAGCTGCTCTCCTTCAGCTCATAAGCTGGGTTTGCATATGCGCAAGTATCTCATTCAATATGAAATACCCAGAGTGCTGCTGGGTTCTTGAGCAAGCCCTGTTGAATGATTAACTAACAGTAGGACACCACTGGAGCCCCTCCTTAGTCTAGAACTGACACCTTTCTGTTGTCCAGTCCCCTGGGTTTGCCGACCCCCCCGCCCCCGGTCTACATTCAGCTATCATTGTGTCCCATTAGATGCAGTCATTGTTTTCCCGCTTCCTGGAAGCAGCGCCCTCCAGGGGGCGACATTGTCACCACCCCCCCACCACCCCCCCCCTCCGGGGTGGCTGCCCTTCTCCCCTCACAGACAGTAGCTGAGTCGCTCACGTCCGCCTCTGGGCCTGAATTCCAGTGTCTTGTTTGGACTGCACCCCATCCAAAAATAACATACCGTGTTCCTTCCCTAACCCCCCCCCCGTCTTTTTTTTTTTTTTTTAAGAAAAACAGGGGGGGGGGGGGGGGGGGGGGGGGGGGGGGGGGGGGGCGGGGGGGTGGTAAATGGCTGGCCAAACAAAGAGGGGCTGTCTGAGGTAAGGCAGGCAGGAAGTGAAACTCCCAGCAGGCCGCTGGACCTCGTTTTAATGTAATTAATGATTCCTGAGCTCAACAGATGAAAAGTTTCTGCCACTTGCCGCTATTTTGAGGTAAAATGGTGAAAAAAAGACATTTGATCCAGAGGGATGTCAGACTTTGCTGCCAGAAAGGTGGCGAGACATAAATATTAGTAACACATGGACAGAAAGAGGTAACATTTCTGATTATATTTAGTGAAAAGAGTGTATTGCCCAAAGAGAAGTCAGAAGAAAGTAAAATAAGGGCCTTTGATGCAGTTTATCCCTGGATCATCAGTTTCTGAGTGAGCTGCTCACTTTCTGGCTGTTTTCTTTGGATTGCTGGTGCGTCTCTGTAAAGCCAGTGACCGACCATTATGGAAGCATAATAATGTTTAAGTAAAGGTAAAACTGAAACTACCAGAAAAAATATGTTCTGAAATGTATTTGAGCCTAGCATGTGGAGTTTTCTCTGTTGTGTTTCTGTTTTGGGCCAGTAGGGGGCAGCATTTCCCTTCATTTCACTCTGCTGAAACTCCACAGAGATTTAGCCTTGCCCTTTTTTGATAGTGGTTTTTGAAGTTCTGGGTGGTGAGGTCAGAGCCTGAAGTGTGTGGCATGGGGTGAGGTGGGAGGGATGCACAGCTTTCCTGGTGCCGGCCTGCAGCAGCCAGAAGCTGACCTCACCTTGCAGACCCCTACCTGTAGTGCCCTACTGCTCCACCAGAGGGTGTTACAGTCTCTGGCCCCTGGTTCTTTTTCAAACTCAGGCTCAGTCATATGCAGAATCTCCGGTGAATTTTATTCACTTCATTCTGAATAGCGCATTTGTTGAGAAATCACTGGTACAACCTGGGCTCTGTGCCAGTATTTATAGCGCAATGGATGGTATGGATAGAGCGGTCATGATTACTCGATTAAACTCGATTACTCGGTTATTTAAAAAAAGCACTGATTAAAAATTTCCATCTCGATTACTCGGCAATATGGTGGAAGGTAGACGGCACATGCGGGAAGACGATCCAAATAAACGGCGAAATCATCATTTGTGTGGAAGCACTTCACATTACAAGTGAATAAGAATGCAGTCATCTGTCAGTATTGCAAGGCAGAACTTGAATATCACCATGGCGCAACTGCAAAGCAAATACATCTTAGAAGACATTCAGGTTTGACGGACCCACCCAGTAATGCAAGATTAGCTATCCCATAGATATGTGCCACGTGGCCTCTCAGTCCAGCCTAGCCTGTCTTTGTCATCACTTTGCCTTAATTTATGTTGCTTATTGTCATCCCTGCATGTGAAAATAATTGCTGCTAAAATGAAGGTTACCCTGTTGCTTAGGCACATCATTCTACTTAATACGGTACGCAATAACCAATTAGCATAAATTAACTTTTGTTGAGGCAATGCGTATTTTGAGTAGGGCTGAACGAAACTAGAAAAAGATCACGATTGTGATATTTAGAGAAAATTAACTATACAGACGCTCCTCTACTTAGGAACTTTCAACTTACGAACTTTCAGACATACGAATGAAGAGGACTGTAAGTCCAAATTGTGTTCGTTGGGCTCCCGTTTCCTGTCCACAACATCAATTTTTTTTCTCTGCGCGCCAATTCCGCCTAGTACAAGTTCTGGCCGCTACTCCCGCCGCGCAGCAGCGTAGCGTGCGAACTCCCAGCGTCCTAGTTCTTTGTACTTAGGTATATGCTTAAAATGATGTTGAATAACAACTTGCGAACATTTCAAGTTATGAACAGCCATTCGGAACATATCTCATTCGCAAGTAGAGGAGCGTCTGTATAGCCAAATGTAGAACTTATCTACCTTAATTTAGCTTATATCTACCAACAATCTGTCAAATAACTTGGTGTTCCTGAGAGTTGCGCCAACAGACACAAAGCACTGTCGACAAAACACTTGCTTTTGCTCATTGTTACTATAAAATACCAAATATTTTCATACAGCGAAATAGGAATGGCTTTTTCTGACCAGTCTTCTTCGTCTTTCTCCTCTTCGCTCATTTGCTTAATTTCTCACAAACGCCCCACACAGTCTATGAATCAGTTTAACAGGATGAAAATGATATGGTTGGCTCGGAGATGGCATGCAGAGGTCATGCAAATGCAGCGGCAGTTAACTTCAGACTGAATTTGTAGACCTATAATAGATAATGCTGAAAAGGAACCATCATTAAAATTGCAAAGCATATTAAGTTCGGTTTCCTGTGACAAAGTAAATGCTTTAGCGCAATTTGTCGATGGTTTGAACCCAGCAGACAATCGCGGTCCTTGCATGAAATGCCATGTTGATATTCACATCGCACAGCGTGCTGGCCTAGCGGCACAGGAGTGCACTGGAAAGCGCTGTCACTGCACACCGCTGCTTGTGTGTGTGTGTGTGTGTGGAGTTTGCATGTTTGCCCGGTGTCTGGGTGCCTTTTCGGCAGATCCGCCGATTTCCTTATACTGTCCAATACGTTAAACTTGAGTTAATTGGGATGCCTAACGTTGGAATGCCTGAGGTGTAGTGCCTACTACTGAATCGCAGTCGTGATATATTGGAATACAACCCCACTCCTTTTCATATGTTACAGCTTAAATATAAACAGTAACTTTATTTCTCAATGAAACGTCAGATGAATCGGCACTCAATTATTTATACATTCCTTAGTGACTGCCCTAGCATGAAGCAACCTGTGAATTTACCCCCTCATACAAATAGGGGGCGTGTCTTGTTGAAGCATCCATCTTAGCCATTACCCTCTCAGCGTTTACACCTCTCTCCCTCCTCCCTTGTCAGACACCCCCTATGAAGTTCCAGGGCAGGCAGCTTGGACGGGGGCCATGCATGTCGGGAAAGGTGAGCGAAACATTAAAATGATCGTAAGGAAATGTCGTGAAGCAGCGGAAGTCAGTCAGAGGTGAGTGTTTGCTAGTTGCCATTTGCACGCGGTGCACTCAGGTGATAACAAAGCCCCGCCCACCTTGAAATTCCTTGAGCCCCATGAAGCGCCTGGTGAGACGCCACGTCTCAAGGCCGTCTCCTCCGGAAAGAAGGGGCAGGTGCCCATTTCCGCCTCTTTTTCCAAACCTTGCACGTCCCGTCCCCCAGGCTCACCGCCAGGAGTCACACAGAGTGTCTCCAAGACGACGGAGCAGCCGGGGGCTCAGCCAGGTAACTCAGACCTGCACCGTGTCATGCCTGGAGCCAAATACACCATCCCTGAAATGCTAAATGCTAACAAACTGAGGCAAATACACTGTTCCTGCAATGCTAAATGCTAATGCCTTGAGTCAAATAAGGATTCCCTGCAATGCTAAATGCTAATGCCTTGAGTCAAATAAGGCTTCCCTGCAATGCTAAATGCTAATGCCTTGAGTCAAATAAGGCTTCTCTGCAATGCTAAATGCTAATGCCTTGAGTCAAATTAACCTTCCCTGAAGTGCTAAATGCTGAGATTCTCTGCAATGCTAAATGCTTCATTGCTTCTGCCTTGAGCTAAATTAACTGTCCCTTCAATGCTAAATGCTAACGCCCCTTTTTTCATACACGTGCAATGGTCATCTTAGCACTCTAATCTGAATGGCGGGCAGAGTCATCGCAGCAAATGATCCAGACTCCACTACCCTTTCTTAACTAGTCCATCCATTTTTCAACTACTTATCCTGGATCACATGGGGGGCAGTGTAGAGCCTGTCCAGGATGACATGGGGGGCAGTGTAGAGCCTGTCCAGGATGACATGGGGGGCAGTGTAGAGCCTGTCCAGGATGACATGGGGGGCAGTGTAGGGT